GGAGCAGCACATCTGGGAGCTGGATGCATAGGCAAGGAAAAACCTGGATTGGAACATTCCTGTTTCTCATAGAGGGGGTTAGACCACAGGAGTTTGTTTTGGACAGCAATGGGAGTTTTACTTACACAAAAATGTTCTGAGGGCAGAAGGAAAAATGATTTGATCCTGCCTCCTCTAGTTCCTAGGGACCCACCTCCTCTACAATCTGATTGGTTTCTCTCTGAACCAATCATTTGTCTTTCTGCCCTCAGAACATTTTTGTGCAAGTAAAACTCCCATGAGCTTTGGGACAGTGAAGCAGGATCCTCTCCCCTTCACACTCACCAGCTGTGATTGTAAGTGGCGGCTCGTTATGTAGACACCGCGGGTCTTTGGTAATGGGTCGTAAGTGAATCAGACTCCAGGAGGGATCCCTTCAACCAGAGCCGAACGTCAGCCGGCCTTGAGCTGACAGAGGCTGAAGGCTCAGAGGCCAGAGCTCATGGAAGGAGCCTCCTGGAGGGGCCTGGTCACCAGGGCGCGAGGGTGTCCCGTCATCGGGGACGCATGGGGGGAAATGAGGTCTGCCGGAGGGGGGGTGGCACGCTGGTGAAGCCAGCAGTGTGGGAGGTTTCAAGCGCTGAGTTATCGGGTTTAAATAAATGTGAGGTGTCTGGTTCTGGCCTGGTCCCCAGGCACTGACTGACAGTGCTGCGTTCGCCCGGTTCCTGCTCTTCTCCCGATCCCTCCAGGAAACCCTCAGAGGCCGGAACCCCCAGATGGAAGCGGGCTGGGTGGCGACCCGGCAGAGTCAGCAGCACCGAGCTGCGGCTGTTCAGGTTCGCCGGACGAGCAAGATGGAGAGAATGATGCTGATGATAGAGTCACCACGACTCGGGTTAAATGGTGTCAGGAAATGCAGGTGACGATGTGGGGGTCGGCTGTCCCAGTCAGTACTTTACCAGACTTCTGAAGTATATTCATATAAGCAGAATAAATTCCCAGCCTTTCCCTTGTGCCTGCCTAGTACTTTCAGTACTGAGTACTCAGTATTCGGTTTCAGTATTTAAAGAGACTTAATAAGCCATGCAACCCTGCGCTGGATGGATGGATGGATGGATGGATGGACTTAAATAGTTCACAAAATCTTGTGATCCCTACAGCAAGGATTTGAACTTGTTTGGTACCAATACCTATACCCATAGCTCTGTGAAATCTTTGTCATGTTAACAAGAAATGATTCCCAAATACGTGGAAAATGCAACTGCAAACTCTGCAGCATTATTCATAAACTTCGCCTTAATCAAAGAATCATGGAACAGACAGGACTGTGGCACAAAGACAGTTAGTGTGTCAATCAGAGCATGGCGATTGCATAGAGAGCCGCCTACGTCGATCACCAATGGCATCATTGACTTGACTGCCTTTTCCTAGATTGGCATGTGCAGTTTTTGCAGCCTGGAGCAGTGACTGATGGACAAACAGGAAAAGCTGAGAATCGCATCCGATGGAGAGCTTAAGGCGACCCGGCGCCTGAAGAAAGGCGCCTGTTTCATGCTTTGCTGTGTGCGTAATGTTCAAAGGGATGCCATGGCGACTCTCTGAGGGAACTTATCTGTCTTCTCCAGCAGTGACCTCTGTCTGTTCCTGTTTATATTGCCAAGGCTAACAAACTCCATTGTCATTGGATGTGAAGGATATTAATTACGCCATAGGGAGACTGGGTGCATCCTTCCTGGAGAGGGGTGGGGGGGGTTTGGGAGGGATGATTACTGAGCCACGAAGGCTACCCAGAGCTCACCCCACATTATTCTTCCATGCCTGCTCTGCCGCAGCCAGAATAAGGTCTGCATGGACTAGCCATCGCCCCCTAGTGGCTGCCCCCTCAAAGTGCAGCAGGTAGGAGTGCCGTTATGGATCTGGGATCCTAACAAGAAAGCCATGCTGTGAATCCTTAAAGTACTTTATCAGTGATTTCCGGCTGTATAAAAGAGCTTAAAACGGCTTTAGCTGTTAGCTATTTAACTGCTTTGGATGAAATCATCCACCAATGAAGCACTATTTCAAAGGATGCATTTTTATTGGCCAATATCCAGAAGAGCAAGGATTCTCTAAATGAGCTGCTGGCTAGCATTTGGGCCAAAATGCCATTTTCTCGATGGTGGAAAAAACATTAGTGGCCTAGTAAATACTGGTCGCCATACTGTGCATTCAGAATTCAGCTGGACGAGGTGAACACAGTGATTTATTCCGCCGACAGAAACAGAAGCACATTTTGGCGGCCCTCAGTGGGAAGCCAGTAGGGTTTGCCCGAGCAAGGTGAAACATTTGCCGCAGTCAGATCGCGCCGGTGCGAGATGGACGAGCCGTAAACGCGAGCGGGAAGGCGTGCCGGGGAAACGCTGAATAATAATCATGAAAGTAATGATTTGAGCGGCGCTGATAGACACACAGCGTGTGGGGGCAGACAGAGCGAAATGGGCCGTTTAATTAAACGATCCAGCGGGACAAAGTCACGCGAAGTCCCATGACATCACCGGAAAAGCGACAAGCGGCTGGCTGGGGAAGCGGGATATGCGTTCTGCTCGTATGCAGAACCCGAAGTCCTAACGACACGTTAAAGATAATCACCAAGGGCATTATAGGCGTCTGAGGGTGAACTCTGAGCGAAGGAACGATTCATGCCTGGTGACTCTGAGGGATTCTCTGTGGGGTGTGGAGATGCTCTTTGCTATAACACCATGTCTGCTTCAGACACATCTCATCCAATGAGTCACGCTGGAGCGGAACAACCCGTCACACACTGAACACCCACTATTGTCTGGAGCAATCTGGAAGGGATTCTGTACATGTACTGAAGGACACCCACTGGCCGACTGTAAATGCAGACATTCATCAATCCAGTCATCCATGCATCAGAACCACTCACCAGGACCCTGTGAAGGTGGGGGGGTGTTACATCGCCTGGGAGGGGTCGAGAGCTGTATGAACCTGCAAACTCCAGACATGAGAGTTCGATCCACAGAGCAAGTTGCTGTGAGACATTAGCAATAGACTTCATTTGCCCCATTCTACACAGATTACTGCAGCTCTGAGGCCCTGTGTGTCTCAGTGGGTTGCAGTACTGTGCCTGTAATTGGAAGGTTGTTAGTTCAAGTCTCAGAATAGACAGAGTGATGTCACCGTTGGGCCCATGAACAAGGCCCTTAACCTCCCCCGGCTCCAGGGACCGACTGACCCGGCTTTCTCTCACAAACATGCGCCGCTTAATAAAAGCATCTGCTAAACAAGTAAAACACAAATAAGCTTTGACGTCACAAAGGACTTCTTTTAATTTTGAGAGGTTCATGTTTACCAGTCGGAGCCTCCTTTCACCACACACTCCCCAGCCATTCTGCACTTCCGACTTCCCCCTTTGGCTCAGCCCCACGGTGGGGGGGGGGGGGGGTTGGACACAGCCGTCGCATTAATAACTGCCACCCGGTTTCCCGCCACATCCCCCCAGCGCCAAGCTCTCCCAGCCGCCCCGGGCTTCTCTGACAGCATAGGTGCTGCTTTCTCTGCTCTCTCCCTCCTCTGGTTATTAAGACGTGTTCCTCTCCGTCTCACCGACAGAGCGGCTAGAAGCCTGGGAGGCTCTGCAGATGAAGCAGGACTTTCTGAAATATCCCATGCCTCTCTTCATGCCCGCTAGGCAGCAAGCCGGTCAGTCACGTTGATTTAAGCTGTATTGGCCCCATCTGAAAGCTGATTGGCCGCTGGAGTGCCCACTCCCCTGTCACTCATCAATTCAAAACATATCATTGGCTAATGATGAGGTTAGCTTCTCTTCTCCTTGTCCTTTTCCTGCTTAGGTGGGTGGAGTCTAAGCCTAGCTTCTGTGTTTCATCCATCGTCGTATATAAACGCAGAGATTTTCCATTATTAGCAACAGTACTGTGGCAAACGTATATAATTTAACAGTCACATCTGACTCAATGGGCAACGTCAGTCAGAATGCACGAGGCGACATTCATTATTGCATGGCGTTTATGTTACATAATCATGCAGTTTTTGTGTATGAGTAAAAAAAAAAGAATCCATTCGAATGATTAGTGTCACTAATGTAACACTGACTATGAACCAGGCACTACATTAATTCACGAGTCATAGAAGTGATTCGGCTCAGATGATGTGTCACACTCTCACTCAATCACACACACACACACACACGTTTGTAGTCATATCCATTCATTTCTATGGGAAAAACTCTAACCCCTACCCAGCCCTAATCTTAACCATAAGTAACCAAACTAAATATGAATCTTTTGGCATTTTTAGGTTTTGGTTGCATTCACAAATTTTAATGAAATTGAGTTTCCCCTTTTGGGGACTGAAATATGTCCCCACAACATCAAAATGACAGGTTTTTAATCGCACTGCGGGGGACATTTGGTCCTCACAATAGAATAGATACATGACCCACACATACACGCGCCCGTGCTGTTAGCGTGTAACTAGGCTTTGACTTCAAGCCCCCTGCTAATAAACTGTGCTTAATGAAGTTACCCAGCTCGGTGCACTCAATAAAATATCTCCTGTTGTACTGGAGGAGAGATTTAGAAAAATGACTGTGAAGGACACAGACAGGCTGTGAAAAGGCCTGGCGGAGGCAGATTTGCTTAGAGGTTCCCAAGAAGGCAGCCGGCAGTTTGCGTTGTGTATTTAACTCCTTATATATCATACTGCAGAGATTCTCCTTCCAGTGCTGGAGGGAATGTCTTCAGAAAGCAGCATCCCAAGGATCTGCTAAATCTGACAATCTGTTGTATTTGCTTTTTGCAGTTTGTAAAAACTTGTGAAGGTTGTGGGTTCAACTCTCACGGGGCAGCAAGCCACACTCTGCTCAAGCGAGGAGTCTGGTCTGTGGTCACGATGCTGGGTTTACGGATCCAGCCTCACTCCTCTGGTACTTGGGTTGGCTGTTCTGGGATCAGTCCTCCTGTGCTGAGCTCCCTCCCTCTCTCCCCCTCCCCTCACAGACCTGAGGCGCATGACTGCCGGCTTCATGGGGATGGCGGTGGCCATCATCCTCTTCGGCTGGATCATCGGGGTGCTCGGCTGCTGTTGGGACCGTGGCCTCATGCAGTACGTGGCCGGCCTGCTCTTCCTCATGGGAGGTGAGTGATGGCGTGATGAGGCACTGCGGGATTCTGGGTAACGTAGTCAGCAAGGGGATGGACTCACAAACAGAAATATATTTGTTCAAATCCCAAAAACGATTTTGCAGTAGTACCATTGAGGAAGATGTCATATCTCAATTGGTTGTGTAGTCCCCTGCTGTACTTTATATTTAAGGTATAAATATAATAAAAATTATATTACAGTATAAAGTATAGCTACATGTCAGCGTGAATCCGCATGTTCTCGTGGCTGGAGGGTGCCCCTCTGCACACGGCACGCAATTATTCACGAGCAAAGACGCTTAATTCAGAAACGGCAGAGAAGACGGATGGCGTTCAGGGCCCGGGGGAAGGTGCCGGCAAGTGGGGGGTAGACACGCACGTCGGGGCAGAGCGGCGCCCCCTTGGGCGTGTAATGAAGCACCAACGGTTACCCTGAAGCGGAGGATTCAGCTTCTCTGTGGGTCTGCAAACTGAGAAGTTAAACTTGTCCCAGAATTGTATGGGGGGGGGGGGGTAATTTATTTGAAACTTTTATAACCCTTATTACTCTGAAGTGGAGAGTGCAGAATGATCACACGGACCAGAAGGTATTACTGATTAAAAAGGACGATAACTGAGTCGTATTAATTAAAGGATTTTTAAAGACGTTAAAGATATAAATATTTTTGTATCATCTCCTATATTTCCAAGTCCTCTCCAGAATCAGTGCCCATCGACCCGTTAAGCAACACAGACGGCCACCTAGGACGCCATGTACTGAGGGGGTTCTGACATTCATCAATCCAGCCAGTTTCACTTGTTCACAGACAGGGGGCTCCACATGGCCTTCGATCAGCGCTGCCCAGAAGCATAGAGCACTAGGAGATGCCCCGGGTGGGATGCTGGTCCATTACAGGCTGCACACCCACACACACCCCCCCCCCACAGGGAGGTTGTGCCTCACTTGCCTGCCCTCTCTCCACGCCAGGTACCTTCTGCATCATCTCCCTGTGCACCTGCGTGGCCGGCATTAACTTCGAGCTCTCACGCTACCCCCGCTACCTGTACGGGCTGCCCGATGACATCGCCCACGGTTACGGCTGGTCCATGTTCTGCGCCTGGGGCGGCCTGGGCCTCACGCTCATCGCTGGCTTCTTCTGCACGCTGGCGCCATCCGTGCAGCCGCCGCCGTCCCGTTCCGTGTGCCCCAAGACGCGGCCGGAGAACGGCACCGTGTGCTAAGGGCCACACGCCGCCGCCCCCGGAACCCGCCGACTCGGCAACCAGGACAAATCAACAAAGCCTGCTACACGTTTAGAATTATTCCCAATCTATCTCGGCTAAAGACTACGGTATTTTTAATGTGTGTGTGTCTAACAAATTTGAGACCCTGATAGGGTCTTTCACAGAGACTGACCTTCTGTGCCGGATGCCACAAACCGCCAGGAACCGCGGCATGGCACGACGGTGTCTATCCGCTCGCCGGTGAGGTCCCCGCCCACCCCATGCCCAGTTTGATGGGTGGTGGGATGCGGATGGAGGGGCAGTTCTGGCTGGTGGTGGTATGGGGGGGGGGTGCTATTTAACAGAAACACCACCCATCGAAACGACAGACCTCCCCCGCGATTATGTCAACAGAGCCCCTGAAGCTGCAGGTCGAGCAAGACGTCTGACGTCAGGAACCAACCACCGCAGCGAGCAGAAACGCTCTGAGCATTCGGGAGCGAACGAGATTCGCAGTTTGGTGGGTTTTTCCTCGGACTGCGTTCAAGGAACATGGAGACCCAGAATGAGAAAGGCGGCAGCTGGGACAGGTAACCAGACTGTTTGGTGGAAAGCAGCGAACGTCGGGTGAATCGGACAACCGCGGAGCAGAGGGGCGACCCGCCTTGTACAAAAATGTAGAGTCTCCAGCGGGATTAAAACTGAAATCCCATATTTGAACGTTTTCATGTCTGAGGTACATCCCATTCCGGCCCAGAGGGGCGCCTTTCCTTCTTAGGTTATTCTCGCTTGTTTTCTAAGGGAAGCCACTCTTTTACCACATGTGCGCGAGGTCTCCGAGCACCGCGTCAACTCCATTCCACCGTTGTCATAGCAGTAAGTACCTGTGGGTGTTTTACAATTTCTGTAGAAAAAAAAAGTATTGTAAAAATAACAATATAACAATTAAAAAAAAAAGAAAAGATCAAGACCTGCCCAAGGAGAAAATGTTGGGTAATTCATGAAATGGAAAATGAAAGGTGCAGTATCCTGTTTGTACCATGTAGCGGGTTCTTTGGCTGCCGGTGAGGGGGGGTTTAATGTCATGACATGGGTGCCCCCGCTATTTCTGACGGCAACACATCCTCCCTTATACCTCTGTCGTCTCCGACGCCTCGTAACAGCTCTATGTCCCATTCTGTGCAGAAAGATGGTTCCAGAAACACCACCCGGCTACAATCGATGCTTTGTACCTGAAAACCCAGCAAACTGGAAACCAGTGTGGCAGCCTTTGACTTCCCACAGAATGTTTAATGCTGAATGTGCCCGTCACCTCGGCCAGCTTCCTGGAGTCTGTCCCCAACAGCCGACGGCATCCCATGAAGGGGATGTTGGCCCCTTCTAGGCCACATACACACTGCAGGTCATACACACTGCAGCTCATACACACTGCAGCTCATACACACTGCAGCTCATACACTGAACTACATGTCTTTGAAGCCCCAACACGTGTGAGGGAACAGTGCTACCCACTGTGCTGAACATTTACAGGAGGAAGCAGGACCGTTAGATGGTACATTTGGGTCTCATCATGTGACTCAGCTACATGTTGAAAAGATTCACAAACAATGATAGCATGTGGCCAAGCTAGCCAACACTAACAAGCCTATGCCGTCCCAGGAGGGCATATATAGCTATAGCTGCTGGCTACTTCCCAGCGTTTAGACCGGAATTTTGAAACGTAACAATAATAAATCCTAAGCAGAGACTACAAGTCAATCTGCTGAGAAATTGCCAGAGTTTACAATTTAATATGTGTTAAATGGTGGTTGACAATCATATCAGCTCCTGAATTCTCTCTTTGGAGAATCCTGTCCAATTCTAGGTGAAAGCAGAGTGAAATCTGTCAGGCTGTATTTAGAAATGCTCGGTATTAGGCATCATCAATGGTTGTTATAAAGTAATGTACAGTCTGGCTGTTTAAAGCAGAATCTTGAGTTGGTATTACATTTATGCGGGGTGTAAGCAAAGCTGGAACAGTTAGGGGAACTCAGGTTTCCATCAGATTACTTGGAATGTTATGAGCAAATTTACGATCCATCACAAAAAGGCTTGGGTCTGGAAAAAGTTTATTTTTAAGCATCTGCCATGGCGATCTAAGCATCATAAGCTTGTAGCACCTTTGACCAAAGCCTAGAATCTGCTGGATTTCCTGACTCCGCTCAAATCAAAGCCGGACCTTCAACGCTGTTCTCACAGGAAAATAAAACCTCAAATACCTACCTGAGGGGATCTCTCCATCTTTCCTCCATGCAGCTAATCAAGTACTGGGTCGTGGCGATGCAATTAGACAGTAATGAGACTAACGAATGGCTCAGCAGCCAGTGCTCTTAATTTTTTTCTCTCTCTGAAGAACCTCCATTAGATAGGCAAGGTACGTGTCTCATCTCCCAGGCAGAGCTCTGTGAGGGGCTAATTAAACGCCCAGCTAGCGATTCCTTACGGATGCATTCACATCCAGACGGACCGTTTCCCTCCCGATTCTCACGCCGCCAGAGCCAAAGCAGAGCCGTGGCTCGGACATATGATGTCATTTGTCACGGCAGCCTAATTCTGGGGCGAGATTTCAGCTGGAAAAGTGATGTTGGCTTTGGAAATGGTGCACCCTGCGAGCTGAACCTGGAAAAAGAGAGGGGGAGAGAGAGAAAGAGAGGGAGGGAGGCGTGGAGGACGAGGCAGAAGGCTCCTGCACAGAACAGACAGAACAGAACAGTCGCGTTTAGATAAGAATCAGCCGGCAGTGAAAGACAATTGTAGTCAATTAATATGCTGGAGCAAACTGGCTTTTTTATTGAAGTAGAAAAAATGGGTTTAAAGGGTCCGGATGACAGGCCGCTAAACTGCGGGGGCTGCTGCCATGGCAACCAGAGCGACAAACAGCTCAGCGGTGATAGGAGGGTCGTGCCGGCCCCGTTCCCAGCATTAGTCTTAATTAGCTCATAAAGTGACGTTTAAAAAGCCCCCCGGCGTGAACCGGGGAGCGACCTTGGGCGGCCCCCCGAGCGAGCGGCGTCCTCTCAGGACTCTGCACTTTCTCAACTTCACGACGCCCCGGATATTTTGAAAAGACTTTCGGTCGCAGGCAGCAAAGCAAGCTGCCGAGCGTGAAATTACAATAACCCGACTTGACACACTCCGCGTAATGCGCATTTCCCCTGCCCCACCCTCCCTGGAAGCAGACGGCAGATAAAAGCCCGTCTCACGCCATCGGAGACTTTCCGAGGACGGAGACGCAACGTGATCATTGTCCAACAGCTGCTGATCCGGCAGAAAAAATTTAAATAAAACAACAGAGAGAACAGTAAACTCTGAAGAGCCTCAGCTGAATACTTAAACAGACCACATTTTTTTGCTTTTAAATACTTTCTCTAATTGTGTAGGAAATTACATGCATTTCTAAAAACATTCACTTTCACTTAGGGTGTAAGCCTCTTGCAGATCCCTGGTTGAGTTGTGGCTGCCGTATATATTGTGGTCTCTTGTATGACCACAGCAGCAAAACTGAAGACCCTAACCCAATTATCCTGGGGTCTTTGGGGCTGCTAATTATTTCCCCTTAATTAAACCAGAAAAATATCAAAAAGTAGCATTGTACAGTTAGCAGTTCGTCTACATCCATTCTCACTTCATAGTTGGTGTCAAGCAGTTACACAAGGGGTCAATGGAGCGGGTGGAGTCTCATTTGGTGTAGAATACCCCAAGAGGAACACAGAAACAGATACTGCAACTTTCATTTCAACCAGTATAAGAACCTGTCAATCTTTTACATCAGTAATGTGTCTGTTGAGTAAACAAAATAAAAACAAGAAAAAATAATTCCTGGAAATGTTCAACTGTGGAATGTATAACCATAAAAAATTAATAAAATCTCATTGGTGTGTTTACTTGTACTGCTTGAAGCCTCAGTTGTGCAGGATTGTTTGAAATGATTGTGTACCTCTGCTTCATTGTCATTAATATCTACGATGCCAAACTAAGCTGGGGACAATGTAAAGACAACAATTGTGCATGAACTTGCCAAAACAAGACATTTGGTGACTTGGTTAAGGGGGAAAATGTCTTTATGTAACAGGTATTCAACAAGTCAAAGCAAGCTTGACACCAACGTCTCACTATGCGCGAAAACTTATGAATCCTACCACAACTATCCACACTCATCCAGATCTGACTGAGGAAAAATACAAAACAGACTCCAAAAAGCTACAATTAAGTAGGGAAGGAAGAAAACGACAGGACATTTATTCCAACTAATCAGTGAAGATGCAGAATCCGGGTAAATTGAAGGCCAGAGTCATTTGAGTAGATGAAACTGCAACACGTAAGCTGGTAATGAGAGCTTGGTGAGAAGGTTTAGGGATGCATGTGAATCCGGCGTTCATCAGGACAACCAAAATCACAGGGTTTCCTGTCAGAGCACGTACAACCTAGCTGGGCCCAGAAGGATGTCCAACAGGGATGCCATCTACAGGGAATTTCCCAGTCTGCAAGGTATAAACCTCATAAATAGATTTCAATCTCAAAGACGGGCTGCACCTCACCTATAGACTAAAAAGTGGACAAACGCCATGAAAGCCATGCTTGGGGAAAAACAAAAAAAATCAGCCACAAGCTGGACTGGCGCTTCATTCATGCATTCGAGACGTCAGTCACCTGGCGACACTGACGAAGGCCGGAGTGCCATCTGTTTGTAATGAAATATTAAATACAATAAAACAGGGGGGTCGGCGTGACAGGCTGCATTCACAGCGCCTTCCGACACACAGCGCAGAGGAACGAAGCCAACGGCACACAGCTCGTCAGCATCATTAATTCATGGCATTGCTTCATCGTCCATTCGCAATTTCTTAGTATTGGCAACTTTTCATAAAATATTTAATGTACCGCTGCCTGGCGCAATCAATGCATTTAGGAAAGGCGCTGATAATTACTCCGCTTGAGAACGATAAACAATTTACGGCAGAATCCAATAACCTACAGCAGGGCTGTTTGCGAGCAGTTTTTTTTTTCCCCCAGCTGCGGTCCTCAGAAAGAGCAGCCCTGTGTTCCTATGCTCACATTCTGAGTGGATGTTATGAGCAGCATCAGATCAGCAGTCCTCAGGACAAGGCCTTCACAGGCTACAGCCCAGACCTCTTTAGGTACCATCGCAGTTAAGAAAGAACTTCAGAACTGTGGTGGAACCCAAAGAGGTCTGGGGAGTGGCCTGTGAAGGCCTTGTCCTGAGGACTGCTGATCTGATACTGCTCATAACGTCCTAACTTGTCCTAATCTCCTTAACTGCAGCAATTATTAGCGGTTAAAGGCATCACTAAAAATCACAGCTCCCGGGATGCAACAGTCACAAAACCCTGCACTGACTAATAACCGATATCAAAGGACGGCAGCCTGGTCGGCAGATTAATGACGTTGGTGTACTGGGGGCGAAGAGAAGGCGCAATCATGACGTCATGCACTAACACGAGCGTCTGAAGGCGGCAAATGGAGGACGTTTCAGTAGAGAAGTGGCCAGTCAGATTCCCTCGTCCACATGTGGCCCCCTCATTCCAAAAAAACTCTGCTGAGAAAGCTCAGGCAGGGCCACAACACGGGAAAACGCTGAATCATGTGACCCTATTAATAAACCACAGGTGAACAGCCTGGGGCAAAAGGCAGAGCGACAAGCAGGGATTCCAAGCGAGTACAGATAAACAGCCCTGATCACCGATATGGAGGAGCAGAAGCATCAGGCAAAGCCGTGACGCTACGAAGCCCCAATCCAAACACTGTCAACCAATCCCGTTAGAGCACCGACACAGCCAATCACTGCATGAGACTCCGTCATTTCGCATTCACTGAAAGTGACCAGGCAGATTCGCCGGAGATCATATATTCCAGATAAAGACGGTACATCTCAAAGTGCATCTCAGTGCGAGCAGGAAGTGTCACACTGCTTCCCACAAGCATCTCCAAGATGGCAGCCCCTTCCGCCAGACGGAAGGTTCTTGAAGGTTCACAGGTTAATAAAAATAAATAAATTAATAAAAGAACGCCCAAACTCATGTCAAGTTTTCTTTTTTATTTAAGATTTAGTTTCCAGACCTGTAGAGAGAGGTACAATTCCTTAAGCTTTTCATTTTAAACTTTATTTTAGCATGTCGTATATCCCATGGCTTAACTGCATCAGCTTCTCTGAATGTATTTACTTTTCTCTTGAATACTGTTGAATACTGAACAGTTGGCAAGAACCTACACAGCCAATAAAGAATTAAGACAAAATAAAGAGTCGGTGATTTGCAGGGGGGGGGGGGGGGGGGGGGGACAAAGGTAATTTTCTGGGGTCTCGCCAAACTGCTTCCTGTCACCCTGAAGTGCTGCTGTCCTTTCACATTTGACTTTGAATATTGTTACGGCTGATGTGGTGAAATCTGTGTGTGTGTGACAGTCCTGTTCTTTACAGTGG